AAGAGAAAGGCCCTAGCTGTCTCAACCTTTCCTCGTAAGACCTTCCCTCCATTCCAGGCAACATCCTGGTAAATCTCCTCTGCACCTTTTCTAACGCTTCCACATCTTTCCTGTAATGAGGTGACCAGAACTGGACACAATACTCCAGATGTAGCTGAATCAGGCTTTTGTATAGCTGGAGCGTAACTTCACGGCTCTTGAACTCGATCCCTCTATTAATGAAAGCTAACACCATACGCTGCCTTAACAGCTCTATCCACCTGGGTGGCAGCTCTCAGGGAACTGTGAACATGAACCCCAAGATTCCTCTGCTCCTCCACACTGCCAAAAATCTTTCCGTTAACCCTGTATTCTGCTTTCGAGTTTCTCCTTCCAAAATGAATCACCTCACACTTTTCAGGGTTAAACTCCATCCGCCACTTCTCAGCCTAGCTCTGCATTCTATCAATGTCCCTTTGTAACCTAGAACAGCCCTCCGCACTGTCCACAACGTGACCCACCTTCGCATTGTCCGCGAACTTGCTAATCCACCCTTCCACTCCTTCATCCAAATCATTTACAAAAATCAGAAATAGAAGAGGACCCAGAACAGATCCTTGTAGTACACCACTCGTAACTGAGCACCATGTTGAATATTTTCCGTCCACTACCACCCTTTGTCTTGTAAGGGTCAGCCAATTCTGAATCCAATCTGCCACATTTCCCCCTATCCCATGCCTCCTTACCTTCTGCATGAGCCTACCATGGGGAACCTTATCAAACGCCTTACTTAAATCCATGTATACCACATCCACTGCCTCCACCTTCATCCACGTGTTTGGTCACCTCTTCAAAGAATTCAATAAGGTTTGTGAGGCATGATCTACCCCTCACAAATCCATGCTGACTATCACGAATCAAACTGTGCCTTTCCAAGTGATCATCAATCCTGTCTCTCAGAGCCCTTTCCAATAATTTTGCTCACTAATCTGAACTGACTTTCTTCAGAGTTTTGTTCTTGAACTGTAGAGACCAATTTTATCATCTTATTCTTGAATCTGCTTGTATGAACCTCTTAATTCTGATCCCCTAAACCTCCTTCAGTGCCAGCGACTTGAAGATTTCTATCCAGACTTTCCTGCTTAGCTGCACAGACTAAAACCATTGCTGAGGTGACTGTTAGCCCCTGAACTAACCTGATTCTCCTGCTTAAAGGAGGACTGTTCTCTTCTGGATTCTTCTTGACTAAAATATTGAACTTTTCTATTCTGAAACCACATCTAAACTAACTACCTTAATGTGTTTACTCTGCCTGTCAAACCCAACAGTGCAAACATCTTATCCATGAATTCTGCAGGGGTGTGTTTTCTTGAAACTACATTTACCTCCCTGCTCAAATGATGCTTAGCCTGTCTTTTTTCTTAAAAAAAAAAAAATCACAATTGACACATCTATCTACCTCTTAAGTCCAAAATCAAAATTATATTTTACACCTTTTATTGGCCTGCCTTTTAAAAGCTATTTACATAAGTGATTTGGACGTGAACATAGGAGGTATGGTTAATAAGTTTGCAGATGACACCAAAATTGGTGGTGTTGTGGACAGTGAAGAAGGTTATCAGAGTACAACAGGACCTTGATCAGGTGGACCAGTGGGCTGAGGAATGGCAGATGAAGTTTAATTTAGATAAGTGTGAGGTGTTGCATTTTGGTAAGGCAAACCAGGGCAGCACAATTAATGGTAGGGTCCTGGGGAGTGTTGAGGGAAAAAAGAGACCTAGGGGTGCAGGTGCATAGTTTCTTGAAGGTGGAGCTACAGGTAGACAGGGTGATGAAGGTGTTTGGCCCACTTGCCTTTATTGGTCAGCAGTGAGTATGAGTTGGGAGGTCATGTTACAGCCGTACAGGACTTTGGTGAAGCCACTTGTAGAATACTGTGTTCAGTTCTGATCTCTCTTCTGCTATGGGAAAGATGTTATTGTAGTTGAAAGTTCAGAAAAGATTTACAAGGTTGTTGCTGGGTTTCGAGTGTTTGAGCTGTAGGGAGAGACTGAATAGGCTCAAGCTTTTCTCCCTGGAGTGTTGGAAGCTGAGGGGTGACCTGATAGGCTTTTAAAATCACAAGTGGCATGGATAGGGTGAATAGCCAAGGTCTTCACCCTGTGGTGGGGGTGTTCAAAACTAGAGGGCATAGGTTTAGAGTGAGGGGGGAAGAGATGTTAAAAAGGACCTAAGGGGCAACCTCTTCACACAGAGGGTGGTGTGTGTATGGAATGAGCTGCCAGAGGAAGTGGTGAAGGCTGGTACAGTCACCTGTACAACACTTGAAAGCCATCTGGATGGGTACATGAATAGGAAAGGTTTAGAGGGATAGGGGCCAAATGCTGGCAAATGGGATTAGATTAATTTAGGATACTGTAATTGGTTGTTGCAGACAAGTTGGACTGAAGGGTCAGTTTCCGTGCTGTATAACTCTGACTCTTTTCTCATCAATCATGAAATCACTTTTTCATTTCTAGCACGATATAGCCGTGATTTTAATGAGTTGCATTCCCTGTGATGATGGCAAGCCTGGGATCAGCTGAGTGGATAAGATCATTCTTAAATGTAATCATTATTAAGGGTGCATTTAATGCAATTAAATGAATATACAAAATTGCCAGGAGAAAACATGACATTCAAATAAACAAACATTGCTCTTGTGAGCTGACACTGTTAGTGGTGAAGTGGACTTCTAACTGAAATTGTCACCATTTAGTGACTGCACAGCATGTGCATAGCTTTAAATGGTGTGTACATATTTATAAATATATTATATTCTTCTCTGCAACTTGCCTTTTTTTTTCACTTTACATCAGCTTTTCTATTATAGATTCTGATGCTCATATTTGTAATGGCAATCATCCAAATAAGCCAGTAATGCAATTTGGCCACTGGTTTCCCACAATCTCTTGCTGTCTTTCTGTTTCGTTCTCAAAATCTTGTCAAAATTTTTGAATTTTGCCTAGAACTTGATCTGCTTTGTTTGATTTGAGCAAATTTGTGAACTTTAACTTTTAAAATTCATTATGCATGTGGGTGTCACGACATTTTATTGTCTGTCTTGATTTAGCTCTGTCAGTACCATCCCTTGTGGTATTGTAAGGGATAAAGGTGAATTCGCCATACTCTTACCAGACCTTAGGCCTGCCCTCCCATTAGATCGATGGACGATAAGCAGTCATTTTAACCTGAGGGTCACCACGCCTTAGGCAGGGGGAAAAGTTGAGATGGAGAGTCCTTCATGGTAACCCAACTGGTACAAGAATTGAGCCTGTGCTGTCAACATCACTTTGTCACAAACCAGCTGTCCGGCCAACTGAGCTAACCAACCTCCAACTTCCAGTAGTTTCTGTACATCTTCAAAATTGCTCCAGGAAAGTCAAGCGAGCAAACTTCAAAGGTTAATTTAATCTCTTCTGAGTTTAAATATCTTGAGAATGACCTTTTAAAGATTATGTGCAAGAAAGGGACTTCTGATTGAGTGTCATCTTCTATTGACTTGACTATTTAAAAATGTGTAATCATAAAGTAAGCGAGGTTGGGCAAGAAATGAGGGGAAAGGAGACAGTGAGTATTTGTGTTCTGTTGCCTGTATGTCAAAATCTAGCTTTTTTTTAAAAGAACTATCTTAAGAGCTTGCCTGTTGTTTAGCCACATCAAAAAGGTCTATTTGTAATCAACCTGTTTGTGTAATGAGGCACCCCTATGGCCATCTCATCTTGAGGTGGAACATCAACTCAAAACATCTGGTCCAGAGGCAGGGATACTACCACTGTACAGCAAGGCCCCCTTTAAAATTATATTTTAATCAACCAGTTTGGATGTAATGTGCTTAGATCAATATTGACACCATTCATGCAGAGATTCTAATCTCAAACACAAGATATGAGGATGGTAAAGAGATGCAATTACAGAGAAAGGTAACTTGTACTTCCTTTTCTTATTTAATTTGTTTAAATTGTTCTTTGAAAGTTGATGAGAGGGAAAAACAGAAGATAACAGTAAATCTCGGCACTTGACTTGTACAGTGCCATGTGGAATTGGTTGACAAATGTATAGGCATACATATGTGAATACTATTATGAATATAAAGTGCTAGATACAACACATTTGTTTGCAATAAACAGTGGATTCTGAGCAGATTTTATTAACACTGTATACCTCCAGATTTCGTGATCAGCCATTAAGTAAGCAGATAAAATTTTTTTTTGAGCTTAAGTCAGATATTTAGTAACAACAGACACACTGTCAAGAGTAGAGTTTTCACTTAAAAAAATCAAATGTTTTAGGTTTGGCATGAATTATTTCCCTTCTCCATTTCCTCATCTTGACAAACTATCAAAAGTCTAAGTATTTGAGCCATGATTCTAGCAAGCCACTTGTTGTCATGCCTTACTTTAACAATGTCAACTACAATTCTAACTCTTATTCAGTTTTGGGTTGTGAGATGTGGTGGAGGAAGGTGTGTGTAGATAGTACTGGTGTTGTAGTTCCCTCGTCGTGCCTAGGACTGAAGATGACTGCTAGCTGCTGGTACAGTTGCTGTGCATACAGTTTCACTCCACTCTACTCGGTGACACTTTTAACTTCAAATAATGCTCAACTACAATAAGCTGCTATACTATAATCAGCTAACACTTACGCTTGAGTAGGCTGACAGTGACAACATGCCAGCGTATTAAAACATTATTAATTCAAAGGGGAAAACCTTTTAAGGAGTTGCAAGAAATGTTGTTTTGCATTTTATTGTAGTTTTTAATTCAACCAAAGGCTTTTGGTTTTTCACATGCTGTAGCCCTAATGAGCAAAGCTGATGGAGTAGGATTGGAATTTCAAAAGGAAAGGTTTGATAGTCCAGCTTCTGTTGGCATCTATTGAGGGGGAAAAAATTCTTTTGTTCTTCATTTTCAATGTGGATTTCTGTCTCTTTTTCTTTCCCCTCCCCTCTTTTTCTCTCGCTTCTGACTTGGATCCTTCAGGCCAGTTCTTTGATGAAAATGAATCCCCAGCTGATCCGCAGCATGACTCTAAAGTGGCGGATTATAATGGGGATGATGGTAATGTGGGTGAGTACGAGGCAGACAAGCAGGCCGAATTGGCTTACAATGAGGAAGAGGATGGTGATGGTGGGGAAGAAGACGTCCAAGGTGAGCTTGGGCCTTATTTCCTTGAAATTGAGAGCTGTGCTAAATCTGTGTGTTATCTGCTGAATACCTGCTTTATGGCTCCAAAGGACAAGTTTATATTTGGTCAGACTGGTATCTTTTTCCAGTCTGCTTTGTTTACATTCTTAAACCATATGCATATTTTATCACACTAGTTCTAAATATCCAAAATCTCAAACATCTGCAAGCACAGAACAACTTGCTGTCAGTTGAGCGGTTCGGTCCTGTAGATAATGTCATTTTTCATAGGCTACTTTTCTTTACAACCCTCTGTGCCTTGTCTGTCTCCCACCTTCTTGCTCCTTTTTGATTTTCTGATAATTCTAGGTTGTTGGCTTAATTTTTTTTCTTGTACTTTAAAAGGCTCTTTCTTCTTTTCCTTCTAAAATGAGGTTTGGGCAGTTTTGACCCATTTTCCAATGAGTGAAAGAATCGTAGAGTCTAAGCTGACAGTTATACTGGAGAGGCAGTAAATGTACTTAAATACCTGATTTTATAGTTTCTTCACTTGAGGAATAAGGTAGCTTCAAAAATTTTGCTGAATGGCCAACTCTTCTTAATCTGTATGTTTGTATGCTGTGAATGTGACATACATAAAATAGAAGCACACCTTTTTGTGTGCAGTGGCCTTACTTGGAAGAGCAGTTATTTTTCATCTTGTGATGCAGCAAGTGCACCTAATGTTGGCAAATCCAATGTGTTTTTACCATGGCAGGGCACAAATAACTTCCTCCTAAAAGGAGAGTATGCAGTGATGCGGAAATTAAGACGGTAAAGCCAGCAAAATGGTACAAAACTGTTCAGTGATGTTCTTGTGACTGAAGTTAAGCCATTAAGTTTTCTCCCCAGCCATGAGCCACAATGTAAATTTTCAGTTCCAGTTAGGCTGTTGTTTGGTGAACATTGGAGGAATAAGGAGCAAGGTTAGATCAAGAACTTCCTTGCAGATGGACTGAAAGTCAAGAGTTGCTCATGCCTCCTTTCGTATGTCTTGTGTATACAGAAGAGGAAATTGCCTGCCTGGCGCCTCTACTGGGATTTGTATATGTTATCTAAAGATACATTAAAGAGATAGGATTATCAGCCATGATACTAACTGAATGGTGAAGCAGACTTGATCGGCCAGATGGCCTACTTGAAAAGGGTATTAAAAACGCTTAGGAGGAGAGAAGAATGAAGTGCTATTTATGTTTAACCACTTAGAGAATTCTACTTTTTTAAATGCATTCTGTTTCTTGCCTAGATATTTGGTAGTACGTATGCAAGTTTGCAAGTCTAGCAAATGAATAACTGTTTCTTTTATTTAAACTACATAGTCATGCAGATAACACATTTAGATTTAGTTTCAAATTTGTCTGCATGATACCATCTTTTGCACTGCATGTATTATAAGCTTGACACTGGCTTGTTTTCTCTCCAAGTTCTGCATGCAAATCCCAACCTTTCAAAAACAGGATGGCATCATTTGTGTTTTTCACTATTCTGTCTCCTACTAGTTTCAATGTGATGTGCATTCACATTTTAATTATCACTGTCATTCTAAATTTGGTTATTTTGTCTTTGCATTGTGAATGTTTAGCTTGTTGGTTTTGTTAGGTGTTTAATTTGGTTAGCTATTCAAGTTACAAACAAGGTTAAAGATTAATAAAATGTTGGAGTCAATAGAATGACTGGAGGGAAAGATGGAAGAAGATGGACAAATATGAGAATAAGCACACTGTATTTGTGGTTAATAACCATTAGGTTAATTTTCTTTTCTCAAAAATTACCACGTCATCTTGGTGAATGGCCGTGCACCAAATTCAGCACCATACCTGTGACCAGAATGTGCTAATTGTCATAATTTGATTATAAAGAGTTTATATTTGTTATCATAGTTCACACATGAGTGGATAAAATAGGATTCTGAGATTACTTAATGACTGTAGTGTGTAAGGCACTGTTGACAATGCAAACAGTTGAACAATAGCTGTAGAAGGAATCATTTGCTCAGCCTGATGCACAACTTGGATTCTTCTCCATTTCGGTGCTTTTAAGATCAGTGGTTTTGTTTCTGGTTTAATTTTAGCACAATGCTGCTCAGTGTTTGTCTTTAAGTGCTGAGCAGTATCATTGCTACTGAACTGTTTGAGGTATTTATTATTAGTTACTATGGCTGAATTCCAATTTTTTATACATTTTCATCTAAAGTGGAGTTTGCTTTTTTAAATTTAAATAAAACACATTGATACTAATGATTCATGGTGCCAGGTTGCATCCAATCTTTAATTCTATTGTTATTTTCCTTAAATTGTTACTTTTCTCACTTTAAAAAATTCTCTTGTAGCACATAGAAAAACCTTTAACAAATGTTAATTTTTTAATTTGCATATTCCTTTTTAGTGCAGTGTCTTGAATGCTGAGGAACAATGTTTCACCAAATCATTTTTATCCTGTAAAAACTTAAAAGAACTGCAGAGGCTAGAAATCCAGCAATTTCTGTTTTTGTTTGAAAAGCTGCCCGACCTGTTCAGCATCTGTGGAGAGAAATCAGTTGATGTTTCGGGTCCAGTGACCCTTCCTCAGTTCAGTTTTGCCAGATGCTGCCAGACCTGCTGAGCTTTTCTGGAAATTTTGTTTTTTTTAATTATTGCAAGGCTGAGAATTACTCCTTATACTTAAAATAAGGAGCAGATTTTAATTGTTATCCATGGGATGGAAATAATTTATAGATGCAATGTAAAGATTGTAGGATTTGAGAAATTGTCCACATTTTGAAAACACAAATCTTGTGGTTGTGATGAAAATGTTATTACCCATTCTGTAAAACTTTAAATTTCTGTCTAGAATCGTGAATTAGGTGGAATCATAGAATCCCCTACGGTGTGGAAGCTGGCCATTTGGACCATCGAGTCCACACCACCGCCCCCCCCCCCCCCCCATCCCACCCAGACACTCCCCAACCCCGTAACCCTGCATTTCCCATGGCTAGTCCACCTAGCTTGCACATCCCTGGACAGTGGGCAATTTAGGATGACTAATCCACCTAATCTGCACATCTTTGGACTGTGGGAGGAAACCCATGTAGGTACAGAGAGAATGTGCAAACTCCACACAGACAATTGCCTGAGGCTGGAATTGAACACTGGTCCCTGGTGCTGTGCGGCAGCTGTGGTAACCACTGAGCCACCGTGCTGTCAGGAGGGGAAGGCCATTTATTTTCACAGCAAAGAAATAACCAATAGTTTCTCTCCTCCTTCCCACGTACGTTTCTTCACTCTTGTGTGCATATGCTTGCTGCCTTGTTTTTCTTTGTAATGCAGATGGTGACTAAAATTATTCTGGAGACCTTGTTGTATGTAGCCCATAGGTCAAGTCAAAATATTGACCCATCATCTGAAGATGTACTTCCTAATAACTGTGTTATCCTGTTTTAGTTTGAACTATCCCTGTGCTATGGATTAATATTGAAACTGTTTTCTCTGTAGAGTCCATGAGCTATGTAATTTAGTTTTGTTTTCTTTTTGACTGGAACAAGTTAAGAAACAAACATATTGCTTTAACCTGAAATAAAACTCAGCAAAGATCCTTCAGCCAACCACTTGGAACACTGATGCAATCGTTGACAGGGAAATGAACTGAATACAGTCTGACTTGGAAATGCAATTTTCTTGCTTCATTTTCTCATTCTAAAGCTACACTCCTGGCTGGTATATCAGCACTGAAATGGAACAGTTTCAGCTTCTGTTCTGACAAAGTTGTAGGGCCTATGCCATGTGTTGGCATCTGTTCTGTTCCTGCTGATAACATAACTTCATCTCTGTGCTGTCTGTCTTCAAATAAATTATCGTTTTATCCTCCATTTTAAAGTGCTGCTGACAGTGCCACAATTTCAGTTGAATTAAACACACTGCTGAAAACACTCAATAGGTTGAGCAGCTGCAATGAAAGAACAAAACGAGAGCCAACACTTTAGTTTGGTCCTGAAAAGCTCTAGTTCTCCATTATTTCTTCTGATGGGAAGAGTTGGAGCATATCTTTGGTGTGATTTGACCAGAGCCCTATACAGTTCAAGTATTAAAAGCCATCCATTTGTGCAGATTTATGATTTTGACCCAGTTAGCCTGGTGGACCATACCATCTTGTTTATCATAAATGCCACTTCTTTTGGATTATCGCTGTTTACATTTGGTTTGATTCTCTTGTCATTAATAAATTGCTTTCTCCAAGAAGTGTTAAGCATATTTAAGGAGGTGGTTTTACTTTGTTCATACCCCTGCGATTTGTTGGAGTTTTGAGGCTTTTTGTATTTTCTTTAACTGCTTGATTGCTGTTCTAAAATTGAAAATTATCTAAAATTGTTTAGGAAATGTATACTGTGTTCCACTTGTATGCTGTTAAATTGCATTGTATTGTGCTTCTGTCTTGTAACTCTGGTGACATTCAAAATGTACTATGGAATTAATGTTTAAAGAATTTCAATAGCCTTTTCGGTCTTGATTTTCTAATCCATACTTCCTTGAGAAAAGCTTCTCTTGATCTAGCAATGGTTGTATGCGACTAGCCATCGTCCTACTTCAAAACTGCTTGAGATGCACCTCCAATTGCATGACACGGCATCTGATTTGTTGGTTATAGAGATTAGACAGTGGAAATTTGCTGTAGGAACTTTAATGGTTACTGTGAATGCATTAGTGTTCTGCAGTCTCCTCCTCCACTTTATGGAGCGATTACAGCATTTGTTGTCTTTCATGCAAAGAAGATTCATTCAACTGATTCCTCCTTGAGTGAAGAATAAAATTTGAATAGGATGAGATTATAGATCATTAAAGTGCAGAGATTTCTGTGATGAGCTGACCCATGAATCTCCAATTCAGTATGAAGGTACAGCAAGGGGTTAGGAAGATGTGTGGAATGTTGGCATTAATTGCTATTTGGATGAAATATGGAATTAGGGATGTTTTGCTGCAGTTGTCGGGTACTGGTGAGATCATTATGGAGTGGAGTACTATGTACAGTTTTTTGGTTTTTATTTAAGACAGGGCAAAATTACTTCTCTGAATCCTAGGATCCGAGGCTTATCTTATGAGGAAAGGCTGGATAGGTTGGGCCTGTATTCAGTGGCATTCAGAAGAATGAGATGACTTTAATGATTTAAACATTAAGGTTCTGAATGGCCTGACAAGATAAG